ATTAAAATGCGGGCATTCGTTTTTTATTCAAGGAATCGCAATTGTCATTGAAATGTGTTTGGATTGTCAGCAGCTACTTTGGATATCGAGTTAGCACTTAGAAATCAAGCTGACGCTAAGTGGAGCTGATGTGAGTAACCGATCAGACGCTGAAAGGTCTTTTTCCGGTAAATAAAAGAATTTAATTTTTAAATATGCCTGGAAACACAATACATTTTTCATCGTTAAAAATTATTTTTCCTATTCTTGGTATATCCGACTATTGATTTCACACTTGTTTAAGTTGGCTAAGCGGATTTAGTATTCTTGACTTGAATTGCACAGCTTCAACTAACGTTTAATTGTTTAACAAATCTGATCAATTGTGGCTTTGTGCGTCTGTCTGAATTCTCTCAACTCTTAAATGGAGCTTGATCGGCGAACTCCATTGATAACATTTAGAGTTGGCACAATTAACATTTGACCTCACATTTCAAAGCACACATTCACAGTTCAGGAACTGTGGGACTGTGGATAGTTTGTCTTCGCCCACTGAATGTTTGCATTGCTCACAGTTCGAACATGTCTGACAGCAGATGCAGCTTTTCATTTACTTGAAAGTTGCCAGCATGGACAATGATGCATGAGCAAGACACTTGACACCTTTGTGCGATGGCCCGAGCTCCTTGGCACACAAACGCACACAGAGATACAACCGCACACACACACACATACACATACACACATGCACACAGACCGATGAGGACGTCAATTAAAAGCCATTGATAGGATTCGGGCGGCAAGTGTTGGCCATGCAAAATATTTACCACCGCAATAGGACAAGTTGTTGTGGCGTCGATGATGGTGGTGGTGGTACATGGCAGTAGATGCTGCTGACGGGCTGGAGGTCGCGGAGGAGGAGGCGGCAGCGGCGGCGGCGGCGGCACCTAATGCCGTGCAGCTGCTGTAGTTAACGGCGCTGGCGGTGGCCACGAACGTCTGGTGGTGGTGATGATGGTGGTGGTGGTGCAGTTGCAGCTGCAGCTGGGCGGCTGGCAGCGGCGCCGCCACTGGCAACTGTTGCTGGTGCTGCGGCAGCAACTGGTGGTGATGTTGCGCTAGCGTCTGCTGCTGCTGTTGCTGCTGATATTGGCTGTGGTTGTGGTGGTGCTGGGACTGGGACTGGGACTGGGACTGCAGTTTGCAGCGACACTTTTCCAGTAGATTCGTGTAGGCGGCGGCGCTGATCGGCGGCGGTGTCGTGATATCCAATTCGGGCAGAAGATGATGCTGATGGTGGAGTTGCTGCTGTTGCTGCTGCTGGTGTTGTTGCTGTTGCTGCTGCTGCTGCTGCTGATGCTGGTGTTGGTGTTGGTGCTGATGGTGCAGGTGTTGCTGCTGCTGTTGGTGACGCGTCTGGCACTCGAAGCCGAATCGCGAATGCATTCGTTTAGTTTTAATTCGAGTGGGCAGCTCGCAAATGAGTAAACTGTGGTGCCGAACGTGGGACGTGTGGTCAGGGAGCCTGAATCAGCTGCTGCAGCAGCAGTCACATGTCCGGAAGCGCAAGCAGACCGCTGACTGTAAGCCGAGATGCTGTCGACCGGTTGCTTTGGGCAACTGTTTCACAGAGACAACGAAAACTGAAAGTGAAATTCGGAAGATTCCCGCACAACTTTGCCGCTGCTGCTGCTGCCGCTGTTGCTGTTGCTGTTGCTGCTGCTGTGGCTGCTGCTATTAACAATGGTCGCGGTGGGTGGCCCCTGGCGATGTAATGGCGGTAGCAGGACGTGGCAACGCTGTGACGTAGCAACGGAGCAAGAGCAACCAGAACGTATGCACGGTAGAATTACAACTGAACTCGAAATCAAATGTTATCCTAGCAATATGCCTCCGAAAAATAATGATGCGATGGCGATGGCGATGACGGCGGCGGCGCAGCAACGAATTAAATTACAGCGGCGGTGGTGGCGGCGGTGCTCCTGGTGGTGGCATTGGCAGGGGTATTGCTGTTGCTGCTGATGCTGCTGATGTTGTAGTTGTTGTTGCTGTTGTTGTTGTTGTAGGCAATGTGGGCGGATGGGTGCTGTGCTGCCTGTTATGATTTGCGCCCAACCATCCTGTGGGCGGTTGGCAACCTGCAGAGCAGCATATCCTCGCCGTAGTCGCGTAGCAAATAATCCAACCCAAACCCCCAGTCATCATCGGGATTGGAGCTGGAGATGGCCGAAGCAGCGCTTTATTTTTCAAGCGGCGCCAGCTAATTCCGGGCTCAAAGTCGTATTTTCTGGGATCTGAACAAGTGTCGGCAGCAGCCCGAAGATGTGCCTGGTGCGAGCGAGATGCCAGATGCTGACTGGCAGTCGGCGTCAAGGCAACGCAGCCAATCATTCAGACGCTCTGCTGCCACCGTACGCCCACCACCCTATAGCAGCCGCACAGCCTGGTGGTTGCTAGGACATCAACCACTCGCTCTCTCTCTCACACTCTCACTCTCATTGTCGCTCTCTCTATCTGTCTTTTTCCACTCTCTTTCTCTCACTCTCTCATTTGCACACACACACACACTTACTCACACACACAGACACTCTCAGAGCTGCACACTTTCTCAGCAACCCCCAGCGGATGCTGCTGGCCAACCAAAACGGTTGCTGCCGGCACGCGTTTTCCTTATCCCTGGTTGGGGCAGTGGGTGGTCTGCTAGGCTGCTAGGCTGCTAGGCTGCTGGGCTGCCGTAGATGACACACATGCCTGCCACTTTGCCACCGCACACGCGTGCACACGCGGAATTTTACTCATCAATTTTCGTATCCGCAACGCTTCATTCATACAGTTTTTCCCGAATTGAAAAATATTTCAGATATTAATATTGCTGCTGCCTGAAATGCACATGCGTCCAGTCGTCCGCATTGTGGGTGTCCATTACATTGGCCTGTGTCTCTGTGGCTCCGTCAGCCATTACAGACCCTTCATGGTGTCCACACACACACACACACACTGAAAGCTCTATGTGTGAGCGCTAAGATGATTTGCTGCCGTTTTCGGCTTTAAGTCTGGCAAGCTTATTAAACATTCTTGAGCTTGGCACACACGAAATGACTTTGTGGTTTGGGCACGCATCAATTTTGAGCATTCAACTTTAAATAAAGTTGAGAAAAGTTTTCAAGCAATGTTCACATGGAGGGTAGCGAGTGAGGGGAACTATCGGAAATTTATCTTAGTATGTATTTCTACAGGTCCTATAGACAAATTCACATTTGTAGCATATACTATAATAATAAAGCATATAATAATAATAAAGCTTTTAGCTTGACAAAAGAAGTTGCAGTGTTTTTTCTTATTGTTGCGATACTCTGAACCTGTTGAAAATGGGAAATCAGGTAAATATTGTTTTCTTTTGTAAATATGTGTATATAGAGTCAAGCCATACAAACATCAAGAAAACATAGTGCAACTACATTTAAAATTATACAGTTAAAGCTGGAACGAATTGTATATATATATATATATATATATATATATATATATATATATATATATATATATAATATATATATATA